TAATAGAAAACCTTAAAATATTAGGTAATGAGTCTTTTACACTTATAAGTTACTCAACTTTTCTATTTTTATATAATGTGGAACTTTAAACATTTGAATTCTCAACAATCTCCCCCACAAGTGTGATTCCCTTTCACATTGGTACACCACCTCCTCAAGCTGAAACTTTAATGAAACTTGCATGCCTAAAACCCTTGTCAAGAAGACTTTCAACACAAAGATCTTTCACTTGAGCCTGTTACCAAATGAATCATCAACTCAAGGGGGACTGACAGTGGCAGATCTTGAGCATTAATCTTGGGGGTCAAATAATATATTATTAATAAATAATAAATAAATATAAAAGGAAAAAGAAGATGAAAGGGTGAAATGATAAAATTGTAGATATATACTTAAATATATTAAATAATCATTAAGTTTGAGGGGGACAAAATCATAAATTATATGAGAGTTATAAAACCGAGGAGAGACTGAGAGAATAAAATTGTAAATATATAAATAAATATATTAAATGCTTATTAAGTTTGGGGGGCTAAAATTATAAATTACATGGGAGTTACAAAATTTTAGGGGGGCCAAGACCCCCTCAACTCCCAAGAAGATCCACCACTGGGACTGACAATAGGAAGATTTTCACAAATGAGACCCGAGTCAACCATATAAGAAAATATGACACCATCTTCAACCCAAAATCTTAAGACATTAGGTTATGAGTCTTTCTCACTTATAAGTTACTCAATTTTTCCATTTTTTCCAATGTGAACTTTAAACACACTTGAATTCTCAACACTAAATAAGTAAGGTTTATAAGTAAATTTAGGAAAATCTCTAGTGAGACGATTTGACAAATATTTTCTGATAAACAAATTATTGGTAACGTCTTCATCAAGAGTTTCATGTGGTACTTCAATATCTTCTCCACATAAAGATTCACATAGTTATTGAATGTTATCCTCATTAAGAGATTATTGTGATACTCCAATGTCATCTCTAGGGAAATATTCTTGTGATATTTCAATGTCACTTTCTTCTTTATCTCTGATGATATGCTCTTAAACGCATATACTTTAAAGTCTAAATTTCTTGTTGGCCCCTTCATGAAATTTAGACTCATAAGCAAAATATATTGTATTTTCATGGAAAATCACATTTGTTGTTATATAAATATGATGAATAGGAGGATGATAACACCTATAACCTTTTTGATGTGCAACGTATCCAATAAAAACACATTGTATGACCTATGGGGCTAACTTGTTGCGTTAATGTTTATGAAGATGAACCAAATGAAACAAGTTCAAATATATGAAGGGGTAAATTAGAAACTATTAGAGTGACAATTAAATTATGTAAAATTTCAAAAAGTGTCTTAAACTTCATAGAACTCGAGGGAGTCTAATTTATCTCTTTATTAAAATATTCTTATGATACTTCAATGTTATATCTAGTGAGAGATTCTTGTGATGTTTCAATGTCATTTTCTTTATCTCTTAGAGGATGATGATATGAAGTTATATTATTTAAATCCATATACTTTAAAGTTTGAATTTCCTGAATTTCTTGTTGGTTCCCTCCATGAAATTCAAAATCAGAAGCAAAATATATTGTATCTTCATGTAAAATCACATTTGTTGTTATATACATATAATAAATAGGAGGATGATAACACCTATAACCTTTTTGATATATAACATATCAAACAAAACACATTGTATGGCCTGTGGGGGTTGACTTATTGGGTTAATGCTTATGAAGATAATCAAATGCAACACATTCAAATATACGAGGTGGTAAAATCGAAACTATTGGAGTGACAATTAAATTATATAAAGTTTCAAAAGGTGTATTAAACTTAATAGAACTTGAAGTAGTATAATTTATTAAATATATAGTTGAAGTAAGAGCTTCTCCACAATAACACAATAACATGTGTGTCTCAATTAACGAAATATACACAATTTCTAATAAATGTCAATTTTTCCTTTCAACAACATTTTTGTTGAGGTGTATTAAGACACGTAATTTGATTAATAATTTCAATAGCTTTTAAATATTGTTGGAAGTTAAAATTTTTATATTCCCTACCATTATCACTCCGCAAAACTTGAATTTGAAGATTATATTGAGTTTTTATCATTTTATGTGAATTTTAAAATAATAAATTTACCTCATTTTGTTTTTATTTTATAACCAATTAATTCTTATACCATCATCAATAAAAGTGATAAACTAACAAGATCAACCTAAAATTTAGGTTTTAGATGGATCTCACACATCATAACATAACATAAAAAAAGGTTGAAGACTTTTATTTAAAATTGATGTAAATGAAGTTCTATTACTCTTTGCAAATTCACAAATATCATAGTGAAAACTAGAAATGTCATACTTTTTAAATAAAGTAGGATTTTTTTAAAATATTCAAATGAGGCATGACCAAGGCTGCAATGTCATAACCAAATTTTAGATTTTTATTTTCTCCCTTAGAGTTATTAACAATTAATGATTATTGTCACTCGTTATAATTTTTTGAAAGATATGAGTAATATAAGTTTTTTATCCTAGTATCATAACTAATTGATTGTTTTGTTTTAATATATTTAAGAACACAAGAGTAAGTAGGGATGCCAAAATGGGTCAATCCATCAGTTCGTTTTGACCCGTTCCACCAAGCCCGTGACCCACTTTATTAATAATTTTTTTAATGTGATATAATACAAAGAATTAGAAAAACAATATATAATATAAATATTTATGAAAAGAGAATTCTAAAAGTCCTAGTGTCTCACAAAGAGAATTCATTAAGTCTCATTATCTCACTACTAAGAGAATTAAAAAAATTTATAATTACTTAAATTCACATTAGGAAAACACTTTCTTTTCTCAAGCACAAATCCCCCTCTCTCCTCTCCTCCTACTCATCATCTCTTTCTTGTTCATTCTTTTTCATAAGGTAAAAATCATATATAACTCATAATTTTTTACTGAAAGATTTAATTTAAAAATAATAAAATAAAATAAGAAATATGACGGACCAGTCCACCCTTTAGCGGGCGGCCCAAGACCTGTAGCATGCTCGTCCCCGCTTTTAGTTGGTCAAAGGCGGGCGGATTGACCCGTTTTACCATCCTAGTAAGGATAAAAAATTATCACATAAGATAAATCAGTTATTATTTGAAAAACAAATAACAGATTAAAATTTAAAGAAGAAACTATAAAGACATAATCAAAATTTAAAGTACTAGTAAGATTTAAAGATTTTTCCCCAATACTTTGGGTTTTATTTCCATTTGTAGTAGAAACATATTATTGTGTAGATGGTTTAATTTTGGTGATCTTACTAGGATCAAATGTTATATGATTTGTAGTTCAAATATCAATAATCCATATATCATTAAAAGTATGAACAATCTTATCAAGATTATTCAAAGTTAGTTCTAGATGTCTTTTCATTTTGTTTAAGAGTGAATACTTCATTTTTCAACTCGATATTTATATCTCTTTCCTGCCATCATAATATTTTTTGAAAAAATATTTAAATTTTTTTGAGTTTGAACAATATAAGGATCTAATTTCATTCCATATGTATCAAACTTTCTTTCCTCCGTTTGAAGATTTTAAAGGATTCAAAATCTAAAAGATTATCATTGCTCGAATATCAACTTAAAAAATAGAAAGTAAAATATATTTACTATCTAATATAAAGTAAAATATGTATATCCTATTTATAAAATACAAAAAATATATACCTAATTAGGTTATTAAGAAACTAAAATATTTTATAACTATATCAAATCCTAATAAAATAATATACAATCTATATAATAATATTTTGTAATAAAAATAAAAGGAAGGTAAATCTTAATATATTTTAAAGAAAATAGTTAAACACCTAATATTAAAAAAAAATGCAATGAAAAGTAAAATACAGAAAGTATATTTAATTTGCAATGAAAAAGTGTGTAAATGTAAAAAACTTGAAAATTAGATGAAAAAAAAAATGTAAATATGGTCAATAAGAACCTTGGACGTAGAATATTTTCAAAAAATATGTTGCAAAGAAAGTAAAGTAGAAATGAAGTTTAAGAGTACTAAAAATAAGTGTGTAAAATTAAGCAAAAGCACGGAAAACAAAATTAAAATAAATATAAAAAGTAAATAAAAAATAAATAACAGATGATTGCAAGAACATGAATGAAAATACAGTAAAATGAAATTAAAAAATAAAATTAAGTAAATGACTTTGGTTAAGAAACAAACTGCATAACATTCTCATTCCTAAACTTCGTAAACTAGAAAAAGAGACATCTGAAAAAAAAAAACCTCATAAGCTTGTTGTAGTGAATGAAATAATAATTTAACAAGATAATTAATAATTAATTAAACAAACATATTAAAACTGAAACATGGCCTAATTCTTCTTATTAGAGAAATTAAAGAGTTATATAAGACTAGAAGAATTAACTATATAACCATACTATGATTTTTTTTTTTCAACATAACATTTGATCCAAAGCCTTCACACTTTATCATCTTTCAAAATAAAAAATGAACTTGATCTTATATTTTATTCATGACCATAATTTGATCTGTAGTTGAATTATAGTTTTTTTTTTTCTTTTTCAAATGTTAGTTATTCCAATTAAATTATTTAACAGTTTTATTTTTATGAGCACACAGGAAAGGAACAACCCCCGCAATACCCCATGTTTTGTTTTGATTTTTTTATTATTATTTATTTTTATAAAAACAGGGTTTGAGTTAAGTTTGGTAAATTTGAAAAGTATTAGTCAACAACCAAACCCCGCCTCTTGCAGAGTTCGCGTTTTGTCTTCATTCAAATTTGGTTTTGGAGTCTCTCATCCTCCTCCTTCAGCTATTCTCATCACTCAACGCAAACAAAATCATCACACACACAAATCTCTCTTTCTCTTTCCCCATTTTGTGTCTCTACATTTGAATCCAATCCATTCACCGTTCCCTCCCTCTATAAATTTACAATGAGCAAAGCAACAAAGAGGAAAGCGAAACGCGACGAAGAGCCCAAACAACGCAAGAAGCGATCCCCTAAAATTAAGCTTCCCAAGCCAGACGAGTACTTCGAGGACAAGCGCAATTTAGTACTACTACATACTAATTTTTCAATTTCAACTTTTTTTTTTTTTTTAATTTGATTATGTCTCTTTGACGAGGGTTTTTTTTACTAACGCTTGTGATTCTTGATCCAAATTAGTATCGGTGATATTTATTTCATGCTGTAAAACTGTGTGACTAATTATTGTTGTATTTTGCTATTTGTAGGAAGACTTGTGGAGGGAAACGTTCCCTGTAGGAACTGAGGTTTGTTTATTTATTTCGTAGATCTTCTTCGTTTACAACTTCATTTCTGTCACGTGTTTTTTTCTCACTGCCTCTTATTGTGATGCCAGTGGGATCAATTGGATTCTGTGTATCAATACAAGTGGAATTTCTCTAACCTGGAAGTGAGTATTATAGTGTACCTCAACTTCATCTTAGATTATGGTGAATTTATTTAAGCGTTTTCGGTTAACTATTTAATTTGGTCAATAAATTGTGTTTAGAATGCATTTGAAGAGGGTGGTGTGCTGCATGGAAGCAAGGTTTATCTTTTTGGCTGCACCGAGCGTAAGTAGCATGCAAACTTCAGCGTTTTGTTGTTTTGCTAGGGCACGGCTTGAGTTTGATTTATTGCTCATTTCTCTTCATTTGCTGTTTTATCTTACTGATTATCGTTCTTGATGCCTTCAGCTCAACTGGTGTGGTTCAAAGATGAAAGCAAAGTTGTCTGCATACCTGTTGTTGTAGCTGTAAGTTGTCAAACGTGGTTCTGTTATGTGTAGGCTAAATTGATTTGTGATCCAATGTTTTTTTTTTTTCTTTGGGTGAAAAGTATATTGTGCAAATTAGGAATAGTCATTTGTGTTTTCTAGATGAGAATGTGTTGTGTGTCACACTCCTTGGGGGGCATGACCTTGGGCATATACATTGACTGGAAATTCCATTTTATAGTTTGCTAGGTGTCAATGTTGTTGGAATCAGCTTCGTGATTGTATCAATTTTAACGATAGTAATTTTTCTTTTTCATTTTTGATTTAAGTGTAAGATGTTTTACTTCCTCTTGTATTCAGGTTGTTTCACCTTTCCCACCGTCTGATAAAATTGGGATTAACTCAGTTCAAAGAGAGTCTGAAGAGATAATACCCATGAAACAAATGAAAATGGACTGGATTCCATATATCCCCCTAGAGGACCGGTAGTCATCGCAATTTGGCTATTTTTGGAGGTTTCTCTTAGATATTGCTTCATGATCATCTCTAAACTTCTATATAATTTTTTTTTTTTTTTTATTATCAACAGAGAAAGCCAAGTTGATAGATTAAAGTCTCAAATATTTATCTTAAGTTGCACACAAAGAAGGTATTGCTCTCTCTTTGGCCTTTCCCTCACAGTCTGTATCAATAGCCTGTTTCAATCTTTTAGTTTTCAAGATCAGTAATGCTCTATTCTTAAAGATGTTTCATTTGTTAAAAGTTTTTTTTAATAGATTTACTTCGAGAAGTTATCTTTCTTAGAAAGAACATCGCCTCTTGCAAATTTAGTTTTCATTTACAAGGTAAATTTCATCAGCTAGAACTAATAATTTTTTTTTTGCATCAATTACATTTACCCTTTTCCTTCATATTGAATATTGCCAAAATTCTTACAGTTTTCTTTAACTTTGTGTAGTTCCTGGTTTTCAAATTTATTATTATTGTTTTGGAAAATAGTAATGTGTTTTCAAATAGTACATAAGAACCTACAAGGTTCACTGCTGTGTCTAGAATGTTATTCCTTCCTACCAGCACGTGCTTTCTTAACTCACTGATATAGAGCTAAGCCCGCTTTTCAAAATCAGGATAAACAAGTCAAGAGGAGTGCCTTCATCTAAACTGGATATTGAACCTCTACTTATGTGTCAATCCTGCTGAGAGTTGGAAAGGGTGGTCCTTCCTCACTGGAGGAGATACCACTCTTTAAAGCCAGGCCTTTAAGAAGAAGAGGGGCATGCTTCTATGTAAAATAGTAGTTCCGTGTCTTCAGCAGTAAACATGGAAAGCATGCTCTCTCATTGATGCAACTGTTCTTGTGTTGTGTAACAAACCGTTATTAAAAATTTTGTTCTTGATACGATAGGTTCTGTTGCGAAGTTTTTCTGCCCGTACATAATTAATACACGAGAACGGGTTCAACTTTTCTAGATTCAGCTATACGTACATTGTTTAGTTCCCTTGCACGTAAATGTTGTAAAATAAATAAATGATTATGCTATGTTAATTCAATGGACACTTAAGTAAAGTGTGAATTGGGAAAACTGAAAGTCCAGTGCTTTCATATTTTGTGTCATTTTCAGTGTGTTTTATATCTGCATGCAACTTGATGAGGTATCCTTTATTGTACTTGCTTGTTGAAACTTTTGATTCATAATTGTAGCATGCTCATGACTGGCTTTTATCTTATGATATGAATCTGTGTGATACAGGGCTGCATTGAAACATCTGAAGTTGGATCGCGTGAAAAAATACGAGTATTGCTTACCTTGTGAGTTTCCAGCTCTATGATATAATTTATGACATGAATATGTATAGTTGTGTAGTTGTATATAATAGTTAGTGAAGAGAAGATATAATTATTTTACGGTTATGATTTGATTTGGTATATCCTTTTTGTTATTTTAACAGATTTCTACCAGCCGTTTAAGGAAGATGAACTTGAACAGAGCACTGAAGTTCAAATAATATTTCCAGCGGAGCCAAAACCGGTAATTATGAGTGAAAATACATTGTCAATTTTGGATTGCTTGGGGGGGATCCTTTATTATATGACATGTTTAAATGTAAGTCAGGTTAATACCATATATTTAGTTTTCCCTGCTTATTTATCTATTACTTTTTCTCTTTTTCTTGCAGGTTTTCTGTGAATTTGATTGGGAATTAGATGAACTTGAGGTATTTAATTATCTCTCTAATATGTGTACCTTAGAATGGGCTTAACTATGTTTTTAGTCTTTCTAATTATTATTTTATCCCTCTAAAATTGAAATCACTACTTTTAATCTTTATTTTTATGACATTAATTAATTGTTTGTGTTTCACAAAACTTGAAGTGACACATATTGGTAATATGCATGCGACACTTAAAAAAAAATTCTTAACATTAGTAAAATAACCTATATTTATCTATCTTTCAAATGAATATAAAGAATTAAAGATATTGATTTGAAATTTTGTAAGTACTACAACTAAAATTCACACATTTTATAACGAATAAAAACATTGATTTCAAATTTAATAAGAATGATTTTTTTTTATAGGAACCAAAACTCATTATTTTGCAGAGACTAAAAACATTTTTTTTTTTTAGATATTAGATTAAGCCTAGAGGATGTATTTGTTTATTTTTTAAAACTTTGCAAGTACAATACAAAAAAACTACTATCAAGCTTGGGATTATTTTGAAAGATTTTTATTGTTTCTTTGGCCTGTCATTTCCAATTATCATTGTCTTCTTGAAGCTGGCATTTGAGAGGACGGAAGTGGGATTGCCATTACTTTATCCGTGTTATGTTGTTTCACCGTGTGGAACCTCCTGATAGAGATGATAAAGAAAAGGATATCTGAAAAGAATATGATACGTAATAATTGACGAAGTTATTCATAATTTTTTTCTATATTCCACAGGAGTTCACCGATAAGCTCATTCAGGAGGAGGAGCTATCGGAAGATGAAAAAGATACTTTTAAGGTATTGAATAATAGGAAATCAATAATCGATTAAAAAGTTTCCAAGTCTTTCAATTAGCAGGTAGGCTGATCATTTAATTGTTTCAGGAATTTCTCAAAGAAAAAGTACGTGAAGCAAAGAAAGCTAATAGAGAGGTACTTTCGCTTTTGGTTATGCCCATAGTGTGTTGTTGCTTTATGCATTTTTACCTATTATGTCTCCTGTAGGCAAGGGAGGCTCGAAGAAAAGCCATTGCAGAAATGAGTGAGGAAACTAAAGCTGCATTTGAGAATATGAAATTTTTTAAGTTCTACCCCGTGGAAAATCCAGACGCTCCTGATGTATCAAATGTTAAGGTAAGCGTTTGCCCATTCTAACACAGCTTTTTGGAGCTCCACTTTTAAAAATATGTAAACATCTTAGTACAACATTAAGCATCAATTCCTACCCTTTAAAAATGAAATTTCTTCCGTGAAACATCTAGGACTACTTCTAATGAACGTAGGGGAAGATTGGTCAGGCAATTTTAGTTCACACACATGCATATATATATATATATATATATATGAAAAATGATTTCCATTAGAGTATAAAGAAATGAATGGTGAAAATGAGGAGTAATACTCTTATTCTTGAAAGTGGATCACTTCTTCTCTGTATATATAATATAATAATGACAATAAAAAGACCGAACTACCAAAGAACATCGATGGAAAAAAATGTTTGATTGTTCTTTTATCTTTAGATAGTTAAAGCAAAGTAAGGAGGTTGAGAAAATGCTATACTTGTTTTTATGAATGCAATTAACTGGTCCCAATAGATGTGCAAAATCTTACAATTGTTAAGCCACTCTATTTCTGTAATGCACTAATTAAAACAGTTCATATTAGAAGGATTTACCAGATATAATATCTGATCGATGTATCAGATACTTTTTTCATGCCTTTCTAATGTACTCACCATTCTTTGTGTTGGCAGTCTCCATTCATAAATAGGTATTACGGAAAGGCTCATCAGATTCTGTAACTGGATTCAAGACGATGACAACTTCATTTGTAGGCTTGTTATCAATAGAGATTAAGTTACCTTCGAAGATCAAGGGCAACCACCTTGTGCCCTATTTGCAGTGTATCTGTACGAAGAAATATATGAGACGAATATTTTCAATTTATAAAGAATTTCAGAGATACAGAAGCTTCAATTTGTGTGACTCTCTTATATTGGTTTCACTTTGCGGATGCTTTGTCGATTGATGAGCTTTTATGCTTTTGATTAGAAGTTAAATGAAAATAAATTACTTGTTTTTTAACATCGACGGATTTATTTTGTTGATTGAGTTCTTTGATATATATTCAAGAAATTTTGTTCTATCGAGGTTGTGAATGAGAGAGGTTGAGGTGAAGATGAAATTGGGTAAATTAGAAAGTTAGTAATTGTTGTTGAAAAAAATTGTCATAGGCTAAAAAGTAAAAGTTACATAAACAAGATAAAATTACAATTAAAAAATGATAAGTATTAAATTATAACTATAAGCTTTATTTATTTAACCAATTGAACAGGTTTTTCAAAATTAAAAGGGTGCATCTTTTATTGAACATTTTCTTAAATTTTAAAATATACTAAAACTAAAACTAACATTTTCTTTAAAAGATTCAAATCAAAGTTAAACTTAGGCCTGAGAATAAACTAAAGCAGCTTGAACATAGTTTTTACTTAATTTGATGGTTCACTTGTTAAATTTATATTTACAAATAATTAAATTTAACTTGAGTTAAAAATTAAGTTCGATAAATAAATGAATTAACCATAAATTATATATACTTCGACTGATTGGTTTATGAACCATTTCAATATAATATTATTAAATAGTTATTTTATATTATTAAATTCACATCATTACTGTTTAATTACTTTTAAATAAAATAAACAAAAAACATGTCGAATTTTATATTTATCATTGTAAATCATTATATATATTTATATATATATATATATATATAATTTTTTATATTATTCAATTCATATGATTCATTTTTTAAAACTAGTTTCATATTTATTTTTATAAAATAAATAAAGTAGGTAAAATAATTATAACTTTGATTAAAGTCAAATTTAAACTAAACAAGATTATTTAAATTTATTAAATAGAATATTTTTTTTGTCTCCCTTAATATAAATGATTTTCTCTTTTGATTTTATAGATTTCTATAATTCTAACCATATTTTGAATGCATTATGCCCCTACTTATTTTAATATTGGAAAAATTAATGCTTGCACTTTTTCTAACCAAAACACGAGGAAGAGTTTGTACTAGGAGAGTTGTTCATCTCTTAACGACTAAACTCTACAAAAATACATAAAACTGTTGAGATGGTATTCCAAAATATACCACAAGCTCATAACAAGATTTTATTTTTAATAAAGAAAAACGTACAAACATTGAGCTATTGTTGGAGTGAATATGAATGAAAATTCTAATATTCAAATTCCTCCTTGTGAAATAAACTTCCCAATCTAAATTCAAAGAAATATGAATGCAATCATGAAGTTATAAAATGGAACGTTTTAGAGTTATCTTGGTACACTATTAATGTAGTAAAAAAAATCCAGTACAAACCAATTAAAAAACATCCTCTTTACAACTTTAAAGATAATTGTTAAAAAAAAAAATCAAAATTTTCGACAATATAATAATTCATAATCAATTATCAAATACATGTACATCATTCTATATAAATTTATGCCCAAAAAATTACATCTCCTTCTGTATGAACTCATGAACAGTCTTGAATCATAAAAGAAGAATCCAGCAGCAAATGCAATGCAAGGTGGTGCTCACGATACAATACTCGTTGCATTACTGTAAATATCACATCACAGCAGAAACAAAAACAACCGATGATGCTTGGCAACTGGTTAATTGGCTAATCCACAAGCTAAGTAGCCCATAATCACGCAAGGGGAATACAAAAAGGTCTTCCACGAGCAAACAGTGCTTTACCATTCGGATCCGTTAAAATCTGACCCCTTCAATGTAAAATGGTCTTTCCATTGACCAAGGCTAGCAAATGGCATGAGACCACAAAATAATGGTAGGAACACTAGCAAGATAGTGTAGAACAGAACTCTGCGAATCCAATACCCAAAAATTGTATTCTTTTGCGTTGTTTGCCATCCAGTGACTGGTCCATGAAGGATTCGGAACAAAGCAGATGTCCAGCAGAGGGATAAGAAATGCAGCAAACATAGAACCTCCCAGTATAAGAGCCACACATTACCACTCCCACCCAGGGTCTCTACACACAGCTTGCCACAATAGCCACAACCAACACCCAACATTAAAAGGATGAAAGTAACAGGCATAGTCTGCGATGATGCTGATGACCGCTGCATGAGCAAATATGCAACTGCAAAAATCATCAAGACACCAAACACCATTCGGCTCATAACTTGAACCTGGCACCACACGATATGCAACTTTAAATTGAACGTGGCCACTGACTTAGGAGTCCACCAGGAGGAAGATTCCTAAAATGGAAAAGAAAAACAACATTAATACCTTTCAATTGAGCCAAGGCAATGCTGGAGTAATATGCAGATGAAATCACTTAAGTACTTTCCTAATTACATCTTACTTTACATAGTGTACATCTTAATTCTTAAATTAGAGCACAAATAAAGAAAAGACGATAAGTGGAATCTTTGATCGTGACTCAGACTTACTTTAAAAATAAAAACTAAACATAGAAATCTTACAAAGATCTATTTCTTTGTCTAAATAAAACTTTAGCAATATGCTTCCTGTTAGTTATTTTTCACCAAGCACTTTTAGAACAGGCTAGACTGACTCAAAATACTACTGATGTAACCACTTTAAACCACAGAAAAAACAATTCTGCATCATTCAAGAAAAGGCTCCTGATAAGAAATATATAACCAAAAACACAAGGCAACAAACTCTGATTAACTTTTTTGCTTAAACAAAGCATGATGCAGTAGCTTTAGTATTTCACATGCACAAAAAAAAAATGGAACCAGGGAAAAACAAAATATTATACTTGCCTGGGTTGATGGTGTACATGATTCGGTAGCTTCAGCAATCCGTTCATAGGAATAAACATATGCACCATACAAAAGTGAGAATGACATAATGAGCAAACCAGTAATAAGACAGTCTATGCATTTCTTTTTGAGTTCACCATGCCTCGTATCTTCTAACTCAGTCTTAAACTTTTCAGCTTTGAAAGATGCCTTTGATTCTCCCATGGCTAATTTCGATCTGCTTAGATCATTTGAATCACGGTTAATAGCCAATTCTTCCTTTTTAAGTTCAATTGCAAGTTCATTGAGGTCATTAGAACGACATTGCTCTTCGGCATACTTCTTAAAAATGCTAAGCATAGGATAAATCACAGATCCAAAAGATACTTGAGAAAAAGAAACCATTTGGTTTGATTGCTCATACAATGTGAGATCACGAGTAACTGAATCCATAAGAAATATATCCCTGGCCTCTTCAGGAGAATTACGACTAACTGAATTCAAATGAAAACTATCCCTGCCCCTGTCCTCTTCAGGAGAATCACGACTAACTGAATTCACATAAAAGTTATCCCTGTCCCTGTCCTCTTCAGGAGAATCACGACTGATTGAATCCATATGAAAGTTATCCCTGACCTGTTCAGGGGGATCACGACAAATTGATTGATCTTGGATTTCAGTATCAGATGGTCTTGAAGGACCAACATCTCTAAAATTTTCAACCGAGCATTCTCCTTTGTCAATAGTCAATTTAGAACTGGAAATTTCCATATTCGTATTGTTTAATTTATTTCCTTCATCGCTCTTTGATGATTCATAAACTAACTTAAGTGTACTCAATGTGCTACAAAAAGATTGTTCAAAGTTCTTTGCTAAACCATCTAGCTTATCTCCAAAAACCTGTGACACCAATAGGAAAAATTCAAAACAATAATTGCTTTGGAAAATGGACTTTACTTAATGTTGACGTGAACTGCTGAAGAAATTAAGAGATGAATCAACAATTGATCTGGCTTACACTGGCAAGAGATTCCTTGATGGCAGACGAACACATCTGCAGAAAGACAAGAGTATTTTGTAACTTTTCCAAGCATCACAAGTATGACAAATAACTCAATGAGTTGTCTCAAGAAAATGCTTTACAAATAAATGCCACACACAATGACATCAAATATGGAAAGTTAACCTTACTCTTAGTGAGGTTTTGACAAATTTCCCCAATACCTGGTCCATTTTTACGCTTACACCTCCTTCAATTATTAAATTGATGCGCTACACAGTATACTCAGAGGCTCAACACCCCTTTATTTTTACCCTTACACTACCATTCTTTAGTTAATTGTAAGATTAACTGTACATTATAGGAATACCCCTATACAGTACAATATACTAATTTAATTGATTGAAAAGCATTAGATATTATCACCCTGTAGGTTGCTGAATTTGATACTAATGCCGGGATTTATGTGCAAATTTCAATATCAAGAATCTAAAGAGCAGTTACTGTTATATGCCTATCAAATACTGTTCAAATTTGCTTCTAAAACAAGGAAAAAAAATTACCATGGAAAGATGACTTGGAGACGTACTCTCAGCTGCTACATCTCTTCTATACAGCACCTTCAAAATTGATAAATAAATCAAATTCTCATTCACAGTATCAAACAACAATTGTAACATATCAAAGCAATAACTATTAACCATTACACCTCTAGTTAAAGAAACACATAACCACAGTTAATACAAAACTCATGACATCAGTCTCAAATGAAAAATACAAAATTAGATCAGTATTCACTAACAACGCCAAAATTAAAACAAAAAAAAAGTACAAGAAACAAGCTTTAAGAGCAGCATTTACCTGAGCCATAACAGCCGCAAATGACATTCCGAGAGGAAGGCCAATAGTGTCCACATTATTAGCCCTATGGCGGCGGCTAACAACCACGCTAGGGTTCCGTCGTTTGAAGAGTACCCTCTTACCTCTGCCTTTTTCTCTCCGCAACAAACTCTTCCACGTCCTCTCGGAAACTTCTGAACTTTGCATTCCGTTATTCAAGGAAACTTCACTCTCGCTAAGGTTCATTTGTGTTGGTTCAGAGGAGCAATTCTCAATCTCAGCCATGTGGGATCCTGTCTTTCTTTCCGTCCCAATTTCAGTGAATAGACTATGCCTCCATAAAATTTAGTATGAAAAACATGAAGAATCCTCGAATTTAAGGTGTTTCTGCAATGATTATGACGCTAGAGAATCTTTCTTGTAGTTTTTGAATACTTATCTGTCTTTTTAATCTCTTTGCCGCTTTCAGAGTGACAAGATTTAGAAGCCACACGCATACATAAACAATAATTAATTCAAATTTTATGTTTATATATATTTTATACTTATTTTTGGTATAATTTTAATAAAATTATTTTAATATCTACTATGTAGATTTTTTTATTGTTTAATAAAAATATAAATTAGTAATTACTTAACCTTTTTTCATATACTCAAAATAAATTACTGCATAAAAGATTAATGGATGAATGGATAGGTATTTCACATTATTAAATATTTTATTCCATATATATATATATATATATATATATATATATATATATATATATATATATATATATATATTATATTACCCTCGTTAAAGTTTTTGTAAGATTATATTATTTTATTGTAACCAATTTATTGTGATATTTTATAAATTTATTAATTAAATTGATTTTTTTAATATTGTAAATGTTTTATTGAAACTATAAAATTATATTATATTTATTTTTAAAAACTCAAAATATTATAATTATTTTATTAAAATTATAAAATAATAAGTACGGTGTATTAGAATAATATGATGGGAATGTATATAATGTTCTATATTAACAAGAATATGTATTAATATTTTTATTTTATATAATTTCATATATTATGTAAAAATAAATATTAAATTATATATTATTAAAACAGTCTAATCACAAGAGTTGCACATATAATAATTTTTTCAGAAGGAGTGATATGATTGTTAATTTATATTTTATTTTAAAGTATTTTATTTATAAATAAAAATATATTAAAACATTACCAAAAAATATTATAGAAGAATAGCTCTTCTTTATATAATATATATATATATATATATATATATATATATATATAATACAATTATATTAATGAAATATATCAATAGTATAAAAAAATCAGAAAATACCAATATATATTAAAATTAGGTTAAAAAAATAAACAAATGTATTTTATCTAATAATAACCATGCAAGTAGTAACAACCAACAATAAAATTATGATTGTGGTTGATATCTTTTTTATATTCATAAATAAATACTTCATAATTTTTATATGTTGTTTCTCTTAATTAGAGTTATACATTTATAATATAAAAATAATACTGAACTTTACATTAAATAATAATATTGCAATAAAAATAACAATAAATTAAATAAAATATTATATATTATGTTTAAGAAGTTTTTAACCATTTAAATATACTAAATTTAAGATAAAGAAATGAAATATATATTTTTATTTATTTTAATTTAAAATTTCATTAAATAGTCACTCAAACTAAATATAAAAAATTGATAGAAAGTTCAAATTAAACAAAGTTAATGTTCAATTAGAATGGTTTATTTTTATAATAAAACTATTTATTTTTAAAAAGAAAATTATAACTTTTTTATAAATACTATTATATTTATAAATTTTATTTATTATTATATTTATAGATAAATTACATAATTTTATAATAAAAATTATAATACATGTGTTATTAAATATTAATATATTATAAATAAAATATAATCAAAATAATAATACATCTTTCAAACTGTATAAAATACTTGTTAATTAACTTTTCTAACTATATGACATTACAATTATAATAAACTATTTAATTCAGCTTTTTTTTTCAATTCACTAGTGGAAAAATAGCTTTCTATGACGGGTTTTTATCACGGTCGTAATCCACCCGTCATAAGTATGTGGCGCAGTGGCAATTTTGTAATAAAATCATAAACTTTCTATGTCGGGTAAGTTTTAACCGACATAGTAAGTGGAAAGGTCACTTTATACGTCGGTTAAAATTTACCCGACATAGAAAGTTAACTTTCTATGTCGGGTAACATTTACCCGACGTAGAAAATGAACTTTCTATGTCGGGTAAATTTTAACCGACGTAGAAAGTGTCTTTGATGACGGGTGTTAGAGGCAACCGACATAGTATCTTCCGTTTTGCCCGCGCTCCATTTCATTTCATCACTTCCCCCATAGCAGAGCTCCCCGTACGTTTCTCCCTACGCTCCATTTCATTTCATCAGTTCACCCATACCGAGCTCCCCGTTCGCTTGTATACGTTTCTCCGCACCCACATTTGCTCGTCACGCCACCCGCCAACGCTTCGTGCCGCCTGCCGCTACCGGTGCCCGTCGCCTTGGATACGTTTCTCCCCACCCGAGCTCCGCACGTCACGCCACCTCGCCACCTCTGTAGGTCTTCAAGAGGTAAGTTTTCGTGCTTGCTTTAGCCAATGTAGGTTTACAGTATTGAATCTAGTAAGTAATAATGCTGTCAAGAGAAGGAAACATCACGGGTGCCTTTAGCTAATTTAGAGATGTATTGTAAGTAGTTTAGTCATTTGAATGTGTTTCTGTCGGCATTCTTTCGTGATTTTGATTTTGAACATTAGATTTGTATTATAATGTAGTTATTTTGAGAGTGGAGTTGGATTTCGTGTAGGCATTATAATGTAGTTATTTCGTGTTTCTGTAGCTAATTTGATTTTGAAAATTAGATTTGTAATAATGGATCGGAGTTGGATCAATTACAGATGAACAACAAATGAATATGAGAGTGGAGTAGAACAATTCCTTGAATTTGCTAAGATGAATGTTCCGGATAATGATGGAAGATTCTATTGCCCTTGTGTTAACTGCTTGAATGAGCGAAGATTACCGACTGAAGTTATTCGGGAACATGTTCTTTGTGATGGTTTCCTAAAGAGTTACATAAAGTGGACATGGCATGGTGAATTATTAAACATGCCAAGTGTAGAAGACAAAGAAGAAGTTGATCTAGAGATGGATGATCAGCTGGAGGAAATGATTCGTGAGCTTGGACAAGATGCCTTCCAACACACACATGTGTGTGTTTGAGTGGAAATGACTTTCCAGCATATGGTAATTTGAGTGGCTACAGCACAAAGGGACATAAAGCTTGCCCAATATGTGAAGAAGACACATGTCACTATCAACTACAACATGGAAAGAAAACAGTGTACCTTGGACACCGAAGATTTCTTCCTTCAAACCATTCATATCGTAAATTAAAAAAATCATTTAACGGGTGTCAAGAAAATGATGCAGCCCCAACACCTTTAAGTGGGGAAGAAGTATATCAACGAGTAAGTGCAATTTCGTGTGAGTTTGGAAAGACGCAAAAGAAAGCCACAGGTATATGGAAGAAAATGTCAATCCTTTTTTTTCTTCCATATTGAAGGGTTCTTGATGTGAGACATTGTATAGATGTCATGCATGTAGAGAAAAATGTGTGTGACAGTATCATCGGAACACTCCTTAACATTCAAGGAAAAACAAAAGATGGTGTCAATGCTCGTTTGGACATGGTTGAAATGGGTATAAGAGAACAATTAGCTCCTCAACCTCATGGTAACCGAACATACTTGCCTCCAAGCATGTCACACACTCGTCTAAAAAAGAGAAAAAAGTTTTTGTGAGTTTTTACGAGGTGTGAAGGTTCCATTTGGTTACTCTTCCAATGTGAAGAGACTTGTATCTATGAAAGATCTCAAATTGCTTGGGTTAAAATCTTATGATTGTCATGTATTGATGCAACAACTTCTACCTGTGGCTATTCGAGGTATCTTACCGGACAATGTTAGATATTCCTTAACTCGATTATGCTTTTTTTAATGCCATATGTAGTAAAGTTATGGACCCGGATGTTTTGGATCAGTTAGAGAATGAGGCTACAGTAATATTATGTCAATTTGAGATGTACTTTCCTCCATCATTTTTTGATATTATGGTTCACTTGATTGTTCATCGGGAAGTTAGAATCTGTGGTCCAGTTTTCTTACGATGGATGTACCCTTTTGAGCGATACATGAAAATATTAAAAGGGTATGTGAAGAACCAATATCGTCCTGAAGCATCAATTGTTCAAAGATATATTGCAGAGGAAGCTATTGAGTTTTGCACAAACTACTTATCAGAAGTTGAAGCTATAGGGTTACCTAAGACTCGTTACCATGGAATAGGTCTTGGTAGAGGAACTCGAGGTGCAAAAGTTGTGACAATGTGTCGAGATGAAGTACTTCAAGCGCATTTGTACATATTGAATAACAGTGAAGAAGTCATCCCCTACTTAAGTGCTCATAAAGAGATTGTGAAACAAAATAATCCACGTATGCCTAAAAAGTGGGTGATCACTGAACACAACAAGAGCTTTTTGAAGTGGTTTAAACAACAAGTTGAAGGTGACAATACAGCTTCTGATACACTAAAGTGGCTAGCATGTGAGCCAAACTTTGATGTGATATGTTGGGGTGGGTATGATATAAATAACTATTCATTTTATACAAAGGGAGAAGATGAAATAAACACAATGCAAAATAGTGGAGTCATGGTGGTGGCTGAATCAATGCATTTCTCGAGTTCAAAGGATAAATATCCGATAAGGGCGTCAATGGGCTACTTTGGTGTAATTGAAGAGATTTGGGTAATAGATTACACGATATTCAAAGTACCTATTTTTAAATGCAAGTGGGTTGATTTTAATACTGGCATCTTCACCGATGATCTTGGATTTACCTTGGTTAACCTTGAAAATACTCGTTATACCGAAGAACCATTTATCATGGCATCTCGGGCAAAACAAGTGTTTTATGTCACCGATCCCGCTAACAAAGGATGGTCAGTGGTTCTACAAGGAAAACCCATGTATACTTCGATGAGAATGATGGATTAGTACTTGATATACCCGAGACACCATGTTTCTCTTCAAATATGCCAAACTTGAGTGTTAATGTAGAAATAGATGATGTGCATGCCATTCGTTATGACC